GTGAAAGAAATCTGACTTAATAACAAAAAATGGATGAGTTGAAACTGGTTATGTCAAAATAACAACAAAAAAAAATCATTAGGGCACTCAAAATTTACTGAATACAACAGCAAGTCTTTGACATAAAGCAACTGAGTTTGTCTAAACAGCAACACAACAACTGTCCCTTTTTCTTTTCAAATATTCTTTTATTAGACTAAGAAATGCAATTTTTTAATCTGCAAATGTAAACATAGAATCACAGAATTGTTTAGTTTGGAGAAGATCTCTAAGTTCATTAAGTCCAACCATTAACCCAGCACTGCCAAGTCAAGCACCAAATCATGTTCCTAAGTGCCACATACACACGCTTTTGAAATACTTCCAGGGGTGGGGACTTCACTTCCTTGGGCAGCCCTGCTTGACAACCTTTTTGGGGAAGAATTTTTCCCTAATATCCAATCAAAACCTCCCCTGGCACAACTTGAGGCCATTTCCTCTTGTCCTGTCACTTATCTGTGGGAGGAGGCCAACCCTCACCTGGCTCCAGCCTCCTTTCAGGTAGTTGTAGAGAGAGATAAGGTCCCCCTGGAGCCTCCTTTTCTCCGGGCTAAACAATGCCAGCTCCCTCAGTCGCTCCTCACAGTACTTGTGCTCCAGACCCTTCATCAGCTCTGTTGTCCTTCTCTGGACACATTCTGGCACCGCAATGTCTTTCATGAGGGGGGGAGGGGGGGCAATGATACACATGATACATGTCATGTAATTTGATGACAGTCAAGGAAAAGGTATCAATGAGGCTGAAAATGCTATGGCCCAGTTTACCATCCTGACACTTTCTAACTATTTCACATGTTTCTACTGGGCACAAACCACAGCTGCAGCTGTGCTGGTAATACATATGTAGCTCACACAAGATGTGTCTGCATATAATCTTAAAATGCACTTGACCTTATGGCACACAAACAGCCAATATACAGTTGAGAGCACTTGAGCCCTTTTAAGCTTTCACCCTCAGAGTGCCCTATGGGATATATGAAATTAACACCACATTCAGCAAACACTGGTGAATGGCCAGGGACAACACTGTTATTCAGAAACCAGTTTTATCAGCAAACCAAAAAAAATAAAAAATTAATACAAACCTTCGGAGCAATTTTTTATTGTGATACCAGTTTTCCATCCTCCTGCTATTTTTAATGGTGAGTAGGTGGATTTATGTAGGATAAAAGAGTAAACTGAGTCCTGACTTGCTGCCCCTGAAGTATAACCTAATTCTACAGAGTAGCAGTGGATCGGACAGAAACTGGGCCAGAGTGCATCTAAGAACTGAACTTCATTTGTATAAACAAACAAGCTTTATTTACAGTATTCCTTCATAAAATCCCAGGCTTCAAGTCTGCATGTTCTTTAAAGACTCCATTTATGTACACTTGAATGCCTATTTAAGCAAAAAAACAAGAAAGCTTTCCCATGGAAACCGCACAGAGATGTTTTACTTCACACGTACACCACAAACAAGGCTGCTAACTTTCCATAATTTACTGTATTTTCTTAGACTTGCCATTGTATTTTAGGACCAAATCTTTTGGAGAAGCTGCTTACGCAGGAGGCCACAGACATATAAATAAATGACCTAAAAGAGGCAAAGCCCAAGATATGAACTGAGAGGAAACAGCATCTTGGCAGCTTGTAAGAAAATTTCAATATTTTTGGTTTCCCTGTTTCTATCTGGAGAAACAGGTTAAAATTTTGTGTTTAGTTGAGAAACAAGCAATCTGGAGGCCATTGGAACTGCATTATTAAATCAGGACTTGATTCATCCCTTAGAATTAAATCAAGCCAGAGGGCAATCCCTGGGCTAAGACAATAGCAAGCTTCAGTTGCTAGATGCTATCTCTCAGCAAGGAATCTAAGTCAGAGAGCCTCAAAGGAGCCCAGTTTTTAAAATCTGCTTAAGAGGACAGAGAGAGAGAGATTGACTTCTTGGGCTTTATCAGACAGATATAAATTGGTTCAATTACTTCAGCAAGAACATGAGCAGTTTTTCTCTGTGAATAAAATACAGCCAGCTAAAATCATACTCTGTTTTGAGAATTTGCCTTTTAGATTCAGGTGATACGTCTCTAAGCATGAATGCACATAATCTACTTTTATATGCATGCGTTTTAGGGGACAAATTTTGTTCCTACTTATAGTTACTACTGATTGAATCAAGGCTACAGCAAAGGGTTAAGTCCTAACTTCAAAAGAGATGGTTACTTCTGCTGGAGGCCACAAGATAAGCAAGGACACCAAGACTTTCAAGTTTAGTCCCTGCACTGAAAGAATTGGATGGGCTCACCTGTTTGGAAAAAAAACCTCAAACCAAAACAACAACCCTGGGAGAAAGCTGGGCATAGAATCAAAGTCCCTTTGGCATGAACTTATGACAACTCTGCCCATGAATAAGCAGGCTGTGTTGAATTACTGAAAACAGAGGCAGGGCTTGCCAAAACTGAGGATGAGGAAATCTCTGACTGATTCTATTTCAAACTTGATGATGCTTCTACAGTTGGCGTGAGAGCAAGGAAAAGCTGTCCTTGATGATGTCTTTAACTCCAGTGAGGAAGACGGTGTACATTGATCCCTGAAGTGTCTGAGAAGAAGGGCAGAGAATTTGGTCAGATACTGGAAAGTCAAGTGGGAGATCCTGTGGCCCTACAGCAGTGGCCAGGAAGATAAACAAGAGATGCTTTGTCTCAAAGAATGCCAAGCACTTGGGAAACCATTTGGATAAGAGGGAAAAAGACTATATATAAGCAAAACCTAATTGACAGTATTTAGAAACATAAACCAGTTGTCTCCGATTTAACCAGGGCTAAATTTACTTCAGCTGAGTAGAATGACATGGTTTCTAGAGAGTAAATAATGAATCCTTCTTTCTGCTTTTAGTGGAGAGGTTTTGATGTGGTTTGAACTAATATATTTAATTACAATGCTTTCCTATATATCAACATATATTCCCATATACTTGGTTCCCAGCTTCTCTACAGTAAAAAATAAAATAGAATGAAGTTATTTCTTTGTGTAGAAACACACTAACCTATTTTAAACACTGTTTACATAAGATGCTTGATTGTGATAAAAATCTTTCTTAAAATATGTTCACACGTATCATAACATCATACTTTTCTTGATACAGATTTATTTATGGTACCTACTCAGGAATCACTAGCTGTTCCTGCAAGCGAAGTGCTTTTAACTAGAGCAGCTTCTCCGTCTCTTTGCAGCTCAATGGTAGCTATTTCAGACATCTCAGCACACTGTCTTCCCCCGCTTCTCATCATCTTTCTCATATTACGTACCCAGTGTAAAACTTAAAATGCAGAGACTCAAACGTAAGAGTGAATAACCTCGCAAACATACATGTGATAGTAAGTGTACACATTTAGTGCTTTTCAAGAGAACTGTTATAATACTTTTAAATTTCAAGTGCAGGGCAGAGAAGTCCAGTTGTATACACCCACTTGTAAGTGAATGCACTTAGCAGACGACACATAGGTACTTGTAAGCTTTCAGCTGCAAAAGAAATGCATTTGTAGTATGGTTATAAAAAAAAAAAGCCACAGTAATGCTTCCAGATATTGTTTCTTCTTCTTCTTCTTCTTTTTTTTTTTTTTTTAAATAATAAACAACATAGTCATAATATTCTGCTAGAGAAAAGAAGAAAGTCCACACCACAGAGAAAATTAAAAAAATCACACTTTATCAAGAAATGCTGCTCCTTTAAATCATACGGTGGTAAAACCAAATTTCTATTAAATTTATATTCTATTTCTACGGTGGCAAAAAAATTTCTATTACAGTGCATCAAAATCAAAAATCAAATATTACTTGATGTTGTCCATAAAATTGAAATTAGTATAAAAATCTACAAATGCATAAGTCAATTGTTGTTTGCTTCTATCATTTCCTAATTACAGTCTCTGACCATGCCATTCATTTGATTTACTCAGCTTGATTTATTTTTGTTTCAACTCTTATTTATGCATATTTGCAGATTTAATTTAATCTTCTGACTGTCACTCAAAATGTTCATCCAAATATGCCTTGTTATTTATGTAGTTTGATGCTTTTATATGCTGAACAACTGATAATCAGCCTACTTAAATCTCTTGCTGTTATAACATTTTTACACTTCGCAAAACTGAAATACTGCAGCAAGGCTGATGCCCATGTTGCTCCATTCAGGTATTATCTGTTCTGCTTCGTAAGAAGGTAGGGATAATATCTAGCTTTGGGGGCACCGCTGCCCATGGTAGCTTGCCCTTGCAACAGAACCACTCTGGGAGGCTGCCTTATCCTCTTTAACGAGAGAGGGTACTCAGGCTGAACTGGTGTCTCCCCAGCCTGAAACAAGGGCTTGCAGAAAAAATGTGGAGGAAGAATCAGAGATCCTCTCTTTCCAACCAACAAAAAAGCAGTAAAGCAAGAGATATTCAGACTTTCAGATAACTTTCTCAGGATCTGATAAGACTGTCTCCTATGCTGGATTGGTGCTTTGCTCTACCTCCTCCTGTTCTTCCATGTCTTTTTATTACAGCTGAATTCCATTTCTTTCAGGTTTTTTTTCCCTGCTCTCTCCATCTCACATGCTTCCCTTCAGGGTCCCCTCAATACCCACACAAAACCAAGGAGTTACCCTGACTGACTGCTACCATGCAGATTACTCCTGCTGTGAGCTATCTCATCTACTTAGATTGGAAGTTCTTTGGAGCAGAGACTGACACCACTCCATGCCCATACAATGCCTAGCAGAAAGAGCCTCCTTTTAATCAGTCCTCTGGTACTAATGTAATAAGCATGATTAGTAAAGTAACTGTCTACACTCACCTATGGGAATGCTAGGACTGTATGAGAATGAAAACAGGTTCAGCTTTTGTAATGCTGGAAATGGACAGTTTAATCCATGAAACTTCTATCCACAGAAACCCATGTAACAAAAGCAATATTTACTAGGAAAAGGCAATCTGACTTACTTTGCTCTCTTGGCCATTTCATTGCCATCCCAGCGCGGGCTGTAAGGGTAATTCTTCTGGGCCTGGGAGTACAGCTGGCCACTGTTGGTGAAGTGGTAGACGGACTGAAACGTTAGGGTTGGTTGGTCTCGTGGAAAGTACAGGGGTAGGTCAACTGTAATTCAAAAAGAAAAAAAAATAATAAAAATACACCACTGCATTTTCTCTCTTTTTTACTGGGAAAATATCAGTCCTTTCTATGTGTTTAAAGGTGAAAGAAAAGAAGAAATTGATGATTAGTTCTAAAATATAGTTCTGCATTTCTCACAAGTAATGATTCCAACCTATTACTGTATGAGATGCTTCGCTTTATCAGAACACTTTTGTAAAGCACATAATTAAAAGAACTTTAGTGTATTTCTATGTTAATCATAAAATTTACATCATGATTACTTTGTTATAAAAAATAAGTTATTTTCCTTTTACTGTGAAATTTTTCCCTATAAAAAAATCACAAAATACGTTCTATATACCATTCAATAATCAATTATCTCTTTAGCCAATTCATTTTAATGCCCTTTTGGACATAAAAAGCATTATCATTCTCATTTTACAGCTGCCTGGGTCCTAAAGTGGTTAAATGATTTGATAAAGAATGTAGAAAGATTCAGTCACATGAGCTGGAAAAGATTTCAACTTGCTGTCATCTGCTAGACAAAAAAAACACCCACAAACCCAAAAACACACTGCGAAGTCATTAATACCCAAAATATCTCACTAAAAATAAAAATCAGAACCTCTTAGTTCCCTTTGCTTATCACTGTCTCATGATCAGCTAGGTCTGGCAGAACAATAAAATGATCTACAACAGTTAGAAACTGGTATATATTTTCATGGTATGAACTGGTTTTTTCACTTTTTCATTGTTAGAATTATAGTTTATATTTCCTTGGTCTACTTTCAATTTCAGAAATCTGTAGTTAAATTGAGTTATGACAACAGACTAGAATTACTAACATCACAGAATCATAGAATCATAGAATCAGTGAGGTCGGAAGGGACCTCTGAGATCATCAAGTCCAACCCTTGATCCACTACCACTGTGGTTACTACACCATGGCACTAAGTGCCATATCCAGTCTCATCTTAAAAACCTCCAGAGATGGAAAATCCACCACTTCCCTAGACAGCCCATTCCAATGGCTGATTTCTTCCTAACATCCAACCTAAATCTCCCCTGGTAGAGCTTAAGACCATGCCCTCTTGTCTTACTGATAGCTGCCTGGGAGAAGAGACCAACCCCCACCTGGCTACAACCTCCTTTCAGGGAGTTGTAGAGAGTGATGAGGTCTCCCCTGAGTCTCCTCCAGGCTGAACAACCCCAGCTCCCTCAGCCTCTCCTCACAGGACTTGTGCTCAAGTCCCTTCACCAGCCTCATTGCTCTTCTCTGGAGCTGCTCCAGCACCTCAATGTCCTTCCTGAACTGAGGGGCCCAGAACTGGACACAGTACTCCAGGTGTGGCCTCACCAGCACTGAGTACAAGGGAAGAATCACTTCCCTGGTCCTGCTGGCCACGCTGTTCCTGATCCAGGCCAGGATGCCATTGGCCTTCTTGGCCACCTGGGCACACTGCTGGCTCATGTTCAGCTTCCTGTCAATCCAAACTCCCAGGTCCCTTTCTGCCTTCCAGCCACTCTGTGCCCAGCTTGTAGCACTGCATGGGGTTGTTGTGGCCAAAGTGCAGGACCTGGCACTTGGCCTTGTTGAACCTCATCCCATTGGAATCAGACCATCTCTCCAGTCTGTCCAGGTCCCTCTGCAGAGCCGTCCTGCCTTCCAGCTGATCGACATTCTCCCACAACTTAGTGCCATATGCAAATTTGCTAATGGTACACTCAATCCCCTCATATAAATCATTGATGAAGATATTAAACAGAACTGGACCCAACAGTTCCGTTTAATATGTTTAATATAACATCAACATTAACAGAATAAAGTGGATTTCTTTTAAAGGTGTACACTTAATTTATAGAGCACCTATAACTGTACTTTTTATTATCCTCCAAAGCCCAGTTCTTTAACTCTGCACAATGAAAGAACACTGCAGTAGAATTGTATTTTAAATACTTCCTGGAGCAGAGATTCCAGCACTTCCTATGAAACTCTGTTTACAGATTCAGATATCAGTGTAAGACAGGTTTTACTTTCCAAATTCCATGCTACTATGCCACTAGTTCGTTCATTTTTCAGGTTTTCTAATCACATCTAAATACTCTGATGTGCATCAGCCACACCATATCTTCCTTTTCCCTAAATTACCCTCCAAGCTCTAGGAGTAAAAGCCGTTTGTAGCCACGAAGTACACAAAACCAAATGTGCTATTCCAGCTGTAGTCTCAAAATACAAGAAATCACTGTGGATGACAGCGCTTGCTCAGTTCGTGACCCAGTGTCTGAGCCACACGTGACAACTCCCAGAGTACTGGTGACTCAGCCCACACACCAGCTTCCAGGAGATACTTATGTGGTAATGACATGGGCAGAGTTCTGCTAATTTGAGGGCAGATCACTGCTTAAACAAAGGTTAGATTCAAAGATTGCTCTGTCAAATTCCTCTTTATAACATGATTACTAAATAACAACCCTGAAAAACATTGGTGTAACATGCTCACTTATCAGCAAGCAAGCTGTCTCCTCCCCTCACAAACAGTGTGTGTGCCTCAGCCTCTGAAGGACTTCACCTTGTAAAAGAGTAAAGAAACAATACTGGTTCTCCATTTTAATGTTATAAATATACTACTTCAGCTCTGAGTGCTTAAACTCTGCTCCTCTAGTGCATCTTTTTCCTTCTTAAGTACCAACTCCTTAACAGAAAACAACTCTTTACACTTTTGTATTTTATCACCATGTGAGTGGAATAATAAACTTTAACAAAGCATTCCAGTAATAGTTTTATTATACTTTTTAGTTGAGAATTTCTAGCTTTCACTAACTTTCCTTTGAAAACTCTGTCTACATAACAGGGGCAAGCAGTAACACTTTTCCTCCCGTTATCTAAAACTAAGGGTTTGCCCTTAACACAAAGTATCTAGCACTAGAAATGCTGTTTAAATGGATAATCAAGACAGTGCTCTCATTACAGAGATATTTTAATTTGTTATAAGAAGGTATCACCAAACCATAGCAGAAAAAAATTTCTTGTTCTATTAACCAAAATCTGTATAGGAATTTTCAGGAATTTCTTATGTTGATCCAATAAATCAGATAATCAAATTAGATTAAAAATTGTGCATCCCACATCTGGCCAACAACAGTATCCCCCTGAACCGCAAGTAGTTTTGAAAAATTTGACCTGCCTTTGATTTCTAACACTGCCCTTCACCTAAAATCTTCCAGTTTTCTAATCCAAGTGTTTTCTTAATACAAGGTGTGGATGAGTCCAGACCAAGTAAAATAACCTGTCCCTAATTTTGGAACACAACCACACCTAAAAGACCGGTAAACAGGAAATAGCCTTGAGTTGTAAAGTGTTATACATATCTCAAGGTAGCCAGCTATTATTTTGCAGTAGGAAAGGAAGGCAAGAACTTGCTTCCGTCGCAGTGGATGCCCGTCCACTGACACTGTTACTGCACAGAATGCAAAAAATAACAAATACCATTGGTAATTCATGCCGGCAAAGTACATTTGATATAAAAGGTCAAATTCTGCTCACAGTCACACGGGTTGCTAAAGAAAATTTTTCTTTTCACCTGGTAGCATACAGGCAGTCTGACTCTCAATCTGTGCATTAATAAAAAATCAGTTCTGCCTCCATGCAATACATAAGGTGGCAAAGGTGTTATTGTAATTACATTCAAGACAACATTTATACTTTGCCATGAAAAATGCATCACAGTTAACAACACAGCAGTTCTGTAAATCAACATTTGAACTAGGCAAACTGTGTTGGTTTGGCATGCAAGTTACCCAAGAACTACAAAAACGTATCACGTTGAATACAAGTACTCTTTCCAAATAACAGCTGACTCAGAAGTACCCTGGTGATATGTCTGCAGAAAATAAGCAGATGACTCATGTCTGTAAATTCCTGAAAGTACCAATAGACCCCTTGCTTAGTCATCTTTTGCTTGGATGCTGGGTTCACGAGCTCTGTAAACTATAATGAGGGATCTAGCTCTTAGTAGGACTCTCTCTCCCTTTTTTCTTCTCTTCTAAACAGTGCAAATTATCTCCCTAAAAATAACTTCATCTGCGTAAGTGAGTCACTTCAACTAGCAAGCTTATACAAGTCACGCAGTTAAGCAGTAATATTTGGTTATGAAGGTAAAAATGTTGCTCTCAAACTCAGATTTAAAACGAAAATTATGTCAGAGGAAGTCCCATTTACCCCTTCTCTCACAGAAATAGAAACATTTCCTTTGGAAAATTTAAACAATTAGCTCATTCAGGAAAGTAAAGCTTTCTAATTTAGTTCCATGTTCAAAGTAATTTAATACTGATGATTTCTTACTTTGGCTTTCCTAAGCATCACACTGTTAATATATGATGCACTCAAACAGCAGACTGGGGAAAGAAGCCAAAACCATAGTAAAACACTGCTTTCTCCTATGTTACAATTTACACATCATTTTTAAAAGTCAATTTTTAGACAGTCATAGTGAGGGGAAAATCATGTCTTTATACAAGCTCTACATGAGCAGAACTTGGAAGGCTGTTTATGGGTAATTAAGCATTGAGTAAATTCTGCAGTGATTGAACCCTAATTTTCCCACACAGTTCATAAGAAAGCAAAAGAAAAAGAACTTGCTTGTTGAGAATAAGTCATGTTGTAAAGAAACTTAATTATGGTTTATAAATAGTTGAAGTTGCTCTCTTTTTGAAACACAAGAAACTATCTAGAAGGAATACAGATTTGCTTCTCTTGACTTAGTTAGCATTTAATGCATACATATATTCAAAGCATAGTTATCTTAAAGCCAAAATCCTCATTCATTAATAATTAAGAAACTGTGCAATGAATCTGTAAGGTTGAATTGTTCACTTCCTTAAAAAATAACAATCTGAGACTTGGAACAGGTTACCTAGTTTGTTAAGTTTATGTCAACAACTACAGAGTTGATTTTGACTGCCTTAGTAACTTTAAAATAGTATCCTTAGCATCTAATTTTACA